ACTCTTTTTATACTGTTAATTGCACTTTGCTTTCTGATATTTCCTGATAATGTTTGTTAAAATTGGATTCTGGTTTTATATATCTTTCTCTTTTGCTTCCCTGGGCTTTTTATCACTGACACTTTTAATTAGAGTACATTTGATTGTACATTTTACATTTCAGTAACTGTCATTTAAGAAGTTGGTTTTGGGATGGCTGGTTAGTTCAATTGGTTAGTGTGCAGTGTTATGATGCCAAAGTCATGGGTTCGGATCCCCGTTCAGCCAAAAAAAAAAAAGGCAAATAAGCCAAAATGTAATGAGTGCTCTCTCTGATAAAGCTGCTTTGTGGACATATATGTATTTGTTATATTATTATATGTTTCTGTGTTTGAAATCTATCATAATTTTTTAAGGATATAGTCATGCATTATAAAAAATACTGTATAGCAGGATAAACCATGGTTACCTGTGCAGGAGAGATAGTAACTCAGCAGTGTTGTTCAGAGGCAAGAGAAAGACATTTTACTGAATACTTTTTGAACTTCTGGATATTCAAACCAAGTGAATGTCATTACCTATTTAAAACACTTAATAAATCATTTGAAAAGGGCCTAGATACAATAAGACGGAAAGCAGATTAGCAGTTGCCTGGAGGTGAGGATGGGGATTGACCATAAATGGCCATTAGGGATTTTTGGAGGATGATGGAAATGTTCTAAAACTGGATTGTGGTGATGATTGCACAACACTGTAAATGTATTGAATATCATTAATCGTACATTAAAATGGGTAAATTCTGTTTACAGCTTTTATGCTGTGAAAAGATTGAAAGAGAAAAAAGGGCATGGATGAAAGTTCACCTGATTTGGCAAACTATCCTAGGAAAATAGTACAAATTATGGGGAAGAAAAAAGACTAAGATAGTCAATGGAAATTTTGTAAATTTTTATGGAGAAATATAAGTAAATTCATGAAAAATAATATTAATACAGAAACATGTATTAAGTGCTAGAGCACTGGCCTGGGCACAGTCACATAGCAGTTGTCACTCAGCAAAGGAGAGGCTCTTTGGT